CTCTCTCTCTCTCTCTCTCTCTCTCTCTGTTTCTCTTTCACGAGTTTTTATGGAGGGGGGAAATGATGAGTGCTGTGTCAACGTACAAATGCACATTAAGATATTACATGTACACACAAAAGGGGCAGGGCTTGTAATGCAATGACACAACATTGATTTTTGTCCTGAAGGCATCCCACTGCTGATGAAAAACCCTCCAGCTGACTGGCAGCTTTCCTTTAGCCTGAGCATTTTTCCTATTTTTCTTTAACATACATCATTTATTTGACTTTGGGAACGTTCTCTATTTCCTTCCGATTGCCTGTGTGTGGTGTTAGACTTTCTGGCCCGAATCCATTTGTCGTGGCAGCCAGATCCCGCACTCCCTGCTTCGCCATCAAGCTTTGACATGAATAGATCTTTCCCCTTCCGAGCAAATTGGGTAAACAATGACTTCCCAGAGCGAGGGAAGAGATAACTTTTCTGGAACAAATCTATAAAGCTGGATGGCAGGATTTCAAAATTCAGAGACCTTTTTATCTCCAGGTTAAAAAAAAAGCAAAAGATTGCCCTTCCCGCCTTCAGCCGATGAAGAAACAGCAGGAGGATTTATTGTGTTATGTAATCAAATTTGACAGGAAACATGAAAGCACATTAAGAGTCAGTTAATGGCCTAGGAACATTGAATGCTATTTTCTTTTCCCCAGAGCTAAGCAGAGTTGAACCTGGTCTTTCCCTGTATACAAAATGTGGATAGGGTTTCCAAAAGGAAGACGCGAGGTGTAATTGCAATATATAGGAAGATAATGATCATGATGATGATGGTGTTGCCATTCGATGACATTCCGGCAGTTGCTTAGATATTATTTTTCTTCTGGCAGCTTTATTACTCTGGAGTATGATGTAATTTCGGGGATACAGGTAGATGGATTTCAGGAGAGACAAGAACAAAACTAGAGAGGTATAGGAAAAGGCTGTATATGTGTGTGTGTGTGTGTGTGTNTTTTATCTCCAGAAGACGACACTAACGAGCCCCAGCTGCATTGTTATTCCTGCGCCCCGACTCAACTCACAGCAAACTTCTGCTGAGTCACAACAAAAAAGTTAAGACCACACCTGGAATATTGCATCCAGTTTTGGTCACCACATTGCAAAAAATGTTGAAAATTTGGAAAAAGAGCAAAGAAAAAAAAGGCAACTCAAATGACGAAGGGCCTGGAGCAGTGGTGGGATTCAGCCAGTTCGCAACCACTTCGGCAGAACCGGTTGTTAACCTTCTGAGCAGTTTGGTGAACTGGTTGTCGGAAGAAATCATTAGGGCAGAGAACCAGTTGTTAAATTATTTGAATCCCACCACTGGCCTGGAGACTAATAGATATGAAGAACGGTTGCAAGATATGGCTAGTCTAGAGAAAAATAGGACCAGGGGTGATATGATAGCAGTATTTCAGTATTTCAGGGACTGCCCCAAAGATGAGGAGGTCAATTTATTTTCCATAGCACCAGAAGGCAAGAGAGGAAGCAAAGGGTGGAAACTAA